CATCATCGCCTTGACGGAATCGAGCTGGTTTCACCCCAAAAACCTCTTCGAACCTGTACCGTCCCCTCAGCATCTCTTCCCAGGAAGATGACATCATCGCCTTGACGGAATCGAGCTGCTTTCTCCCCAAAAACCTCCTTCAACCTGCGCCGTCACCTCAGCGTCGCTTCCTGCCGCGATGACATCATCGCCTTGACCGAATTGAGAGCTGCTTTCTCCCCAAAACCCTCCTGCAAACTGCGCCGTCACCTCAGCATCGCTTCCTGCCGCGATGACATCATCGCCTTGACGGAATTGAGCTCTTTTCTCCCCAAAACCACTTGGAATCCGCGCCGCCGCCTCGGCATCGCTTCCTGCTAAACCCACCTCGTCGCCTCGCCGGAATCGAGCTGGTTTCTCCCCGAAACCGCTTTTGAGTCCACACCGCCGCCTCGCCTTCGTTTCCTACTCAAACTTTTTCATCGCTTTGACGGATTTAAGCTCTTTTCTCCCCAAAACCCCTTCCGGACGCCTTCTACCGTCTCCGAATTTTAGGGGCCGCCGCCATGTCGGGTGCCGACCCCCTGGAGACGCTGCGGGTGGAAGCCAGCTGCGCCGGCTGCCTGGAATACCTTCAGGATCCCGTCATCATCGAATGCGGTCACAATTTTTGCCGCCGTTGCATCACCCGCTGGTGGGCCGAACTGGTTCGCGATTTCCCTTGTCCCGTTTGCCGCAAAACCTCCCGCCACCGTTCTCTCCGTCCCAACCGTCAACTGGGTAACATGGTGGAAGCCGCCCGACAACTTCGGGGCTCCAAACGAAAAGCCGGCGAGGAAAACCGTTGCCCGCTTCACGGCCAAGCTTTGGTTCGCTTCTGTCGCGACGACGAAGCTCCCGTCTGCCTCCTCTGCGAGATCTCCCACGCTCACCGCGCTCACCGCCTCGTCCCCCTCGACGCCGCCGCCCTCGAGTATAAGGTGGGGGTGGGGGTGAAACGCCTTCTCCCCCTCCGAGTCCCGGGTTTGGCCCCAAATTCGGCCCCCGGGGCGATTTGGGGCAGAAGGGTTGGGCTGCGGTTCATCCAAATCTTCGTTTTCAGCCCCAAATTCTTCCCCAAGACCGTTCCGGGAGGGGGTTTGGCCACGGCTCATCCTGTTTTCCACCCCCTGATGTTGGGATTCAGCCCCAAATCCTCTCCCTGGGGGTGTTTCTGGAGGAGTTTGGGCTGTGGGTCACCCAAATCTTCGTGTACAGCCCCAAATTCTTCCCCAAGACCATCGAGGGAGGAGTTTTCCCCCGGCTCATCC